AGCACTCTGTTAAGGAAAAGCAAGATTAATTTCAGAATTGAGAAGTCTAAAAAATATATATATAGTCTCACCCTATCCCAGGGAGTAATGATTTGAAACAAACTTGCTTCTATTTTCATATATATGATTCATCATAACTTAGCTGTTCCTGATAGAAGACTTCTTCCATATATATTCCCTTGTAAAACTTTTATTGTCTAATGTAGCCATGCCATACCCCCCAGGGGTAATGATTATAATAAATTTAAATCTACACTAACTGAGGATACTTTAGAATTAATGTCCCTAATAATATCTCAGTTGTTCTTGATAAAAAAACTGTTGAAAGATATTTCCTACATCTTCCTATGTATAACTTTAATCCCCTGTTTTGGCCCTGCCCTACTCCCAAAGGCACCATTTGATTAGACCCCAAATCTACACTATGCAATGAAGCTTTCACACAAGTTTTGCAATGAAACTTTCACATAAGTTTCATCTCTTCTGTCCCAGAGGTTCTTAAGAAGAATTATAAAAGATGCCACTTTATTTCCAACATTTGAAAATTATCTCCCCTTTAAAGAGAGTGGCCTTTCATGTGAACATATTTGAAATTCCTTTACCCAAGGATGCTTTGTGGCAAGTTTGGTTGAAATTGGCTTAGTGCTTCTGGAGAAGGAGATAAATTAGTGAAATGTTTATGTTGCCGACAATAATGAAAACGACAGACAACAGACACATTTTGATCAGAAAAGCTTTCTTAAGCCTTTGGCTAAGGTGAGCTAAAACTGTCTTGCTTCTATTGCATTAAAATGAATTGTGAGTAATTGTTTAGAAAAAAAGATTATTATTATATAAAGAAATGACATAGTTATCATATTTTAGATATAGTTCTCTACTTACACAATAAGTCATTTTAATAAAATTATATAAAAAGAATATATAAAAATATATAAAAAAAAAAAAAAATTGAAAACATAGTCTGTGCATTGTATCCTCTGGTACGTGAAGTACATAAATATTTTAATATATTTTAGGAATATCTGAAAGAACCCTGAAAGCAAACATCCTGGTTGATCCTGTAACAACTGTGATTGAGGATCTGCAAGTCCCTCCTGTACAGCAGAAGGTCCACTCCAATAAGGGGCTTGATGACTTCGATGAGGACCTGGTGAAAAGGACCATCCATGAAATGCAGTTGAGGGGCGAGTATGTATCTCTTCGTCGACTGTCAGGTGTGTTGGTGGAAAGGGGAATCAGGCTCACCAAGTCATCTCTGGCAAGACTTGTGAAGAAACTTGGGTTCAGGTAAGAATCAATTAAAAAATATAACCTACAAATAAAGCATATAATTATTAAAATTGTTTAATAATATACATTTATTGACTGGGTTCGAGTGCGACAAGCATTTTGTCAGACCCACAGGGTCGACAAAATGCATTTTGCCCTTGAACCAGTCAAGAAATGTTGTTATACCTTTTATTTTATTATTATTGTCCAATATCTTGCTCCGCAGTCAAACATCGATTTTTTACCTCACCTGAGCTGAAAGCTCAAATGAGCTTTTCTGATCACTCGTGTCCATCGTCCGTCCATCCGTCTGTAAACTTTTCACATTTTCAACTTCCTCTCAAGAACCACTAGACCAATTTTAACCAAAGTTGGTACAGAGCATTTTTGGATGAAGGGGAAGTTAACTTGTTAAAATGAAGGGCCAAGCCCCCTCAGAAGGGGAGATTATCAAGAAAAGGCAAAAATAGGGTGGGGTCATTAAAAAATCTTCTCAAGAACCACTGGGCCAGAAAAGCTATAACTAATGAGGAAGCATCCTGGGGTAGTGTAGATTCTTATTCGTTAAAATCATGACCCCAAGAGGTAGGGCAGGGCCACAATAGGGAATCCAAGTTTTACAATGAAATATATAAAGAAAAATCTTTAAAAATCTTTTTCTCAAGTACCACTGGGCCAGAAAAGCTGAAACTTATGTGGAAGTATCCTGGGGTAGTGTAGATTACACATTGTTAAAATCATGACCCCTGGGGGTGGGACGCACAGGCACTTGTTTCGTATACAGGGCACCTACTTATTTTTACTACAAGGTACCTAACTCAGTTTCAGGCACCCCCTCTTCAAGCTCGTATTTTGTTCATATATCAATCATTAACCTACTTTAAAATTATATTGTTCACTTCGAGAGACTTTTTCCTTGTCAAATAAATCCTTTCAGACGTCTCTGGTCGAGCCTCTTTATTGTAAACCACTCATTAATTACCTCGATACATTTCAAGACTTTAGATGGGACACAAATTTCCGGTTGGGGTTATAAACGAAGGATAAAACCAGAGACCTTGGAATGGAATACTTGGAAGTCTCTGGTTTTATCCTACCCCCAACCGGAAGTTGTATCCCATCTAAAGTCTTAATATCTATTGAGGGAATTTTCGAGGTACCTTGTGGTAAAAATAAGTAGGGATGCCCCGTATACGAAACAAGTGCCTGTGGTAGGACTGGGCCACAATAGGTATTACATGGGAGAAAGTCAGGTGTGAAGAACAGCAGGGCCAAACTTACTCAGGTGAGTGTTGTGGCCCATGGGTCTCTTGTTTTATGACCACTCAGTAAACATAGGAAATGCTAGACTTATTTTAGTATAGATTTATGTAGGAACAAATTTTTAAAGGTATATAAATAAACATCGTTTGCATGCATAAAAATAGAACTGAACTTTATCTTTTTTTTAAAAAAAATGTTTCATTCTCTTTCAGATTCTACAAGTCTGGTTCAGATCGGAGGTACATTGGAGAGCGTAATGACATTGTCAGTATGCGCCATACTTACCTGAGGTCCATCCGAAACTTTAGAGAGGCGGGTCGTCCTATCGTGTACTTGGATGAGACTTGGTTGAACACCAATCATGTAGCAAGGGGAGATTGGGTGGACTGTCCTAGGACATCTACCTCTGCCTTTGAGTCGCATCGTGGAGGTCATGGGCGCTTCGTCCCACCTGGGAAAGGCTCTCGTCTGATAATTGTGGATGCTGGTTCTTCGGCTGTGGGCATGATCCCGGGGTCATGTCTAATGTTTGAGTCGAAAACTGGCACTCAAGATTATCATGATGAGATGAACTCAGGAAACTTCACGAGGTGGTTCACTGAGCAGTTGCTCCCTAACCTACCGGGTAATTCAGTCATCGTGATGGATAATGCTTCCTATCACAGTCATCTGGATCCCGAGTCTAAGTGTCCGACATCGTCGGCGCGAAAGGCCGAGATCCAGTCTTGGCTTGATAGAAAGGGTATTCATTACACTCCGGCAATGATTAAGGCTGAGTTACTCACATTGGTGAAGCAGCATAAGCCTCGACCAAAGTATGTGATTGACGATTTGGCTTCACAGGCAGGTCACACAGTTTTGCGTCTACCTCCTTATCATTGTGAGCTGAATCCCATCGAGCTGGTTTGGGCTGAATTGAAAAGCTTCGTCGCCAGGAGCAATACCACATTTAAGAAAGATAAAGTGATGGAGCTATTCAATCAAGCAAGATCAGCATACGATGTGGAGAAGTGGAGGAGGGTAGAGAGCCACGTGATAAATGAGGTAGAGACAAAACTGTGGAAACTTGACGGAGTTCAGGATGATGAGGTCGCTCCGGTGATCATTGACTTGACGGACTCGGAAGACAGTGACAGTGACTTAGACACAGATTCTGGTGATGACGAAAATGACGTCGACTCTAACGTATCCATGAACTCCGTCGAGGAATCTGATGATGAAGTCACTTGTTGCATATGTGGTGACTATAATGCTCCTGGAAGGTCTCGAAAGATTGCGTGGGTGGAATGTGAGTTGTGTGAAAGGTGGAGTCACCGCATATGTACCAAGCCCTCTCTAAAGTCAGGTAAGTGCCTTCGATGCTGGAACAGTTTGTATGGACTGAATCCTCTTTCTTCATGAGCCTTGCTTTGATGATTGGTGAACTGTTCCTCTTTAAAGGTAAAAGAAAGATTATTAATCATTCATTGATGCATGTATCACCTAGTGTTTAATTATAGTTTTAAGTACTCATATTTGAGAAAAATAAGCCATTGCAATAAACTAGGATTCAGAAAATTTTACTCTAAAATTTTGACACTGTTGGAATGCAATTGATAATTTCATAAACAGATGAAATCCATTGATTTCAATATAACTTGGCACACAAATAGACTACACTAAGATACATAATTCTAAATATCGGTTTTTGATTTCAATGAAAGGTGTTGCCATGGTTACTAAAAATAAAAATTTCTGTGAAATACATTCAAAATGTACTCATCCTACAGTTTTGGTCTGATTTCAATATAACTTAATACACAAGTAAACTACATAATTCTATTCATAGCTGTTGGAAAGTTTCAAATCCATGGGCTATTTTTCTCTTTCTTTGTTATCAGAACAAACCGGTAGAGCTACAGTCTCATCAGACATGTTTTAATGTGCACCACATCTTCTATCCGATAGTTCAGCTGACAAAATTTAATTTTTCAATTTAATATTAAATATTGAATACTAAATAATTAAGGAATTAATTTAATAGCTACCCAAATTTATATGGTATAAACAGTTTATAATGTATAAATTGGGTAGCTATTAAATTAATTCCTTATAATTTAATTTTCATTTCATTTAGTGTAAGGAAAAAAGATTATTGCCTTGAAAATAATTCCAAATTGTACAAAATTTAAATATATAAACGTCAGGCGGATCGATACATTTTTGACACAGTCATTGTGATGTAGGCAACCCAATTTATACAATATAAAGTAATTTTTTTATCCAATCAAATATCACGTTATATCCAGAATTAAATTACTTAAAAATGAAAAATATTTAAAGTCTCTTAGGGCAATAAAACTCTTCAATTCATTGGTGAATCTATGATACATGCATGTTTAATGATTAATTTGTCTTTCAAAAGGTGGGCCTGTGTGTAACTAATCTTTTTTATGTATCTTGCCTATATTCATGAGACTTTACGTTAATACATTGCTGTAATCACACTTTTGTCCTTTGGGTGAAATTTCAACAGTATGGATCAGCTATAACTGAAAATAAAAAGGTCATTACAGATTTGAATTCCTATTGTAGATCCATGCAAACTTAAATCTATAGACTATATGCACATGCTTGGATATGAATTTTGTTTTACTCTGCTGTTCTATAGATCATAAATAACCATATCAAGTTAGTAAAGTGCAGAATTAAACTTTAATGAACAAGTCATAATTTCACTGCATTTGGAATGAGTTAGAACTGAAAATACACTCCTTGTACCTGTAGATCTATTTCAGTTATTTCAGGGTTCAAATAGAGTACAGCATATGTAAACATAATCATGATAATATACTGCCTGATTAGTTACACACAATGCCCCCTACCGAACCAACAAACCTGACTTTTGATGAGTGAAGCTGCTTCCCCTCCTCTGTATTCCATGCATGTTAAATTTTCACAGGGCAGCATTTAGTCTCAGTTCCTTATTGTGATTCACTTCTCCTCTACAATTGGGACTTGCATGATCAATATTTTTTTTTTCATTTCTTACATACACTTTGTAAAAATTAATTGCAAGAAAAACTTCAAAACAAATTTCAGTGGTTTTCATTCATGAGATATATATATTGATACATAATTTATTCAATTTTTATAAAAGCCCTACTGCATTTCAAGTTTTGTTTAACTTAACAAGACCAATTTACTGTGATAAAACCTACTGTGATAGATATGCTGGTTTTTTTTTTTAACATATTATGTACATAATTATTTGCAAGAAAAACCAAATTAATTTCAGTGATTTTAATTCATTTGTGATTTTTTTTTTATCATGATACATAATACTGTTTATTAAATTTAAGCTTTAATATAAAAAGCTTATTAAAAGCATACTGTATTTCCATTTCTGACTTATCAGTTTACATGTACCATGTTTACTGTGATAAAATCTGCTGTGATAAATGTTATTGTTTAACTAAATATGTACATTTAAACATATGAACTGTAATAACAACAAATTAACTATAAATGGTATTGTTACTCTAAAGTGATTATTTACATTTTATTTTTTTTTTCTCATTATTTTATATTTTCAATCTACTTTTTATGCACTTTGGCACTGTGATAAAAACTTTACTGTGATTATTGCTTTTATTTAATATCGAAATACTCAACAACAAACTTAGTGTCACACTTCAACCCTATAATACTCTGTATCAGTGATTGTTCTTAATCATGTTAATCTGAAACATGCATATTTGTGTTCAACTATATTTTATATATTTACATAAATATATACTGTAGTATTTTTCTCTTCTTAAATTCTCTGTGAAAAAAAAATTTGCTGTAAATTACACCCTCTTTTTTCTAATTATCTTTTTTTTTCCTTCAAATTAACCATTGCCTTACTGCTACTTATTAACTGACTGTAAATGCTATAGTTTCATACAGGGACATAACTTGCTTATTCAACGATTTTGTGCTCTAATTATACCATAAACAGTTGACTATGACTGTATGTTTGCATTATGGATATATCATGTAATACTTAAGGTTCTTTCAACCAAACATTGAATGTGTACAATGGTGTTGGTTTGATATGCACAACAACAAAGCTAGTCAAAAAAAAAAAAAAAATTAAACTAGCTATCAAGTTTGTAGTCTAGCATAGCAGTAACTTACTGCATGTGATAAATATATTTATAAACTAGACTACAATAAAGTTATATATACAAATACTGAGCCCATTTCTACATGGACCCATGAATGGCATATGATTACAGTGGTAATTTTCAGTACACATTTCATTGTTGGTTTACATGATATCGAGTCACTGGCACGACAGAGATGTCTGTAAACTTCCGTCTTTGTGACATTACCAAATGCTTACATACAGGGCAAGATATTTCAGAAATTCCCAAAATATCTTAATTTCATATTAATACATAAAGCAAGTAGTGTCTGTGATTGAAATACTATAGGAATATTTCAAATGTTTGTCTGAATTCTTTATATTGATTTCTTTGATAAGTATAATATGTGTTGTATTCAGTAAATCATTGTTAAATATGTTATGGGATGACACTATACAAACTTCTATCACTACAAATTTCTGAAATTTTCTTTAAAATATTTTGTTAACATGGTTAAGAAAACTAAAAATTCTGCAATGATTTTATACATGCATTTTGTGATTATTCCACACCCGATACCAAGGATATTGTGCAATATAGTAAAAAGGATTAATTGTAAAATAATATGAGTTACATGTATCAACTTATCCTGTTATGTGTGTTCATCTTATATAATATATGTACATATTATCATGCAGATTTTCTTAAATTTGTGAAATAAATTCTTTGTTGAATTACATACTATATTTGTTTTTCTTTCAAAGATATAATGAAGTTTCATAACTGAAGTATGAAATCCCATATCCTTAGACAATATGCTGCATAATGCATTACTATGTGTATATGATATTGAATAGTCATATTTATTGTTATATACAGCTACTTGTTGTTTGACAAGATATGAAAAATATGGGTAAGAAAAGATACCTGTTTCAAACAAGGTGAAAGGTTATCCTGACAGTGAGGTCCATCAGAACACCTGTAGAAGTCTATTCACCTGCAAATACATGTATGACAATTAAAGCTTAACTTGGATTTTACGAGGCTAAACAATATGTTTGCTTCCTGTAACAGTAAACCTGGATCAACTTAAGCAATTTGCAATTTTTACACAGTACTATAATGTAAATTAAACCCACTCTGTACATAGAGGTTGCATCAGCAAGCAAACACTGTTAATGTGGGTGGCATGTGACCTGTGTCGCAGTGTGTGCACAATGAATTAAACCTTTTTAAAAATATACATGTCAAATAAGTCACAACCATTTACATTTTATAAAATTCAATTATCATTGATCATTGTTGATTTCTATAGTATCATCATTTAGCATGTCTTCATTGACTTGGAGATTGTTTGTGAAATGTGCCGTAAGATTGCCATATACATGATATACATGTATAGGGCATGTGCTCCATGTCTGAAATCCTCCATAAGAAAAAAAAAAAATCAGGAAAGAAATTTGAGTGCCAAAATATTGGTATTATTAATATATAGAAAATAGCATATTGAATGCTTAGTTAGGGTATATTATTTTGACTATTTCCTGCACTGTTACTGTCAATTTATCAAATTTATGCATAAATACAACTATATTATACATCTTTACATGTAGTGTTAAACTGTTAAAAGCGAAAGTAGACATTCTGCATAATCAACAGAATAAAGAAAATTTAAGAAATTAATTTCCAACATAAAAAGAAAGTCAGCATTGTGTTTTTAATTTTATCTTTTTTTCCTGAGTAGCTCTATACGGTCATATCAGTTCATTAAACAATGTTAACCTGTTAACATATTAAAACTGGACGAATACATGTTGTCTATAGTAGGTCACGGGTATTTTGTCATCTACAGGGACGTGCGTGTACCATGCGTTTTGGCATATTTATCATAAAACTTGAAACACTTCTTCATTGAACATTTGTACTGCAGTAAACAACAAAAAAAAAAAAAACAACATTTAAAAAAACTTACCTTTCTGAACAAGGGATGATGTGATTTGCATCTACCTCCGGCCTAATGTGAATGATGAGTGAGTGCGTCCATAAGCTGTACTGTACTATATTCGGACTATTGACTCATTTTTCACGATAAAACTCGCTAAAATATTTTTGAATATTATGTGTTTCTAATATTTTTACTAAAAACACGTTGAACTAATTTCTTTCATTTTAAATACATTTTTTTCATTTTTCATTTGGAAAGAACAACTACTCCCTTGATAAACTGGTTCTCCGCCCCGTAATCTAGACGATAATGGACGAGTTTACCATGTTAAATCCCCGTAGACTTTGAATTTGCCGCCGTGTGTATACACTGGTTGACCTCGATGGTTCGTATAAAAGCAGAAAGTTTGGAAAAAAATCAATCTACCGATCGGACCTAGGTTGAAGGCCAAGGTATTTATTTATTTTGAGATATCTTGCAAAAAGTGGTGACGTTCCGGTTGTGGGACAGACTATAATAAATGATGCAACAAAAAAATCATACATCATGGTTTAGGTACAAGAAATCTCAAGACAGAAGAAAATCATACATGATAATTTTGATAGAAGCTTCCTTGCTTAATATAACCATGATCATAGTTTGCATGCTAAATGTCTAATTTCCCAATTTATCTTCCCCTCCTGCTATAGATGCAACACTATATATCGTCATGATACTCCAAGTAGTTTCAGAGTTCAAATGTTACTGCATGACGGACAAAAACAGATAGCAGTAGGTCACTTGAGTGGTTATCTTATACCAGGTAAATCTAAACAATAACAATACCTTTCCGCGAACTTAAATAACATGCTGGGTGTCCAACATTTGTTTTTCTAAATCCGTCAATTCCAGGCTTAAAGATTTGTCCACAGCAGACATTTCTTTTGATCTGTTTTCGTAGCATTTCAAACTGTAGTGAAACAATTTTTTTTAATAGATTCGCTGAACTCGGGTCTCCTAAAATCTATATCTCAGAAAACATTTAGAGAAGGAAGCAAAATCCGAATTTTTGTCTATTAAGTCTTAAAAGTGACAAAGCTTCACTCTTACTTTTTTTGTATCAAATTAAAGTTAAAACTGTAACCATAAAAATTCATGTAAGTATGCTATAGGGCCACTTTCAGATGTAGTGTAAAAATAATGTCCGCCACAAAACGGTGGCTGCTAAAAAGTATTAAACAAGTTATGAAGAAACTGATACACATTAAATTGTTTGTTTTTCATTTATACAGTAAAACTTATCTAATCCGGCTTGGGTTGGTTCTGAAAAGTTTCGCTGAATTAGACAACATCCGGTTTGGAGCACATTGCAGAAATTTAATTCAATATTGACTAACATATATTTTTTTGATGTATTTGATACATATAATTTTTTTCAGCCTGAAAGCGGAAACAAACCTATTTTTTTTAGGCCTAAGTAGAATCGTGGGTCTCAGAACGACAGATAATCGATCGTCGGCGACAATCGTTTCATCACTATAAATAATATGAAATACGTTCTTAACAAAAAGAGAAAAAATAACCGACTTCCCTATGTTGATTGTCTATAATATGGACGTCACATAAGTGATTTTTTTAAATCCAATTCAACTATTTATTACAGAGTTTTTAATTGATTTGTTAGAAAATAAAGGATTAACAAATATTTATGGACAATAACTGTCATTTAATATTTTGTATTAATAAAGAAAACAATTGTTCAAAATGAGCGTCATTTTGTAAGTGCTTCATTAAAATTTTGTTGTCATGTCATACTTTTGTTAAACTATATCTGAAACAAGCCATATAGGCAAAATTGTTATTACCTTTAAGCCTCAAGTTCCCCAGGTCTTCGACGGTTGTACAATAGAAGTCGACTTTCGGAGAGTATAACTCCTTTTCTATAATTATCTGGAGTCATATTTTCCACATCAAAATTGGCAAGTTCATTTGTGATGTGCTTTGCTAATTTTGCAATGTCTTCGGGATCTGGTAGACTCTTTTGAGCATTAAAATGACGCTCATTCAGGGTTGATTTTGCAATTTTTGTTACTTTAACAGTCCATTCTAACTTCATCAGGTTTAGAAAGTTTGAAGCATCTAAACGCCCTTGTTCATCTCCAGATTTTATACTGTTTCCAAGTTTCACAGACGCTAAACGACAAAGGTCAAACCCAATTTTTAAAGCCGTGCTTGGGTGGTCCAAGTCAAATTCATCAGATTCCTCCTTGTCAACACCATCACAAGCCTTAAGTGCACAAGACACAAAAACATCAAAATATTTTGGAACCAGAAAATCCGACATACTAAGAGATAGGTTTGTTGTTTCTCGAACAAGGAGGAGTCCAGCAAGTCGCATGTGGTAACTCGCATAATGTTTTCGTTTTCTTTTATTATCTATGTTTTTACTGAGCCATATATCTCCAAGCATCAGAATAATGTGGTCCTCCAAAACACAGTCTGTAATGCTGTCTCTTCTCATCGCTGGAAGAACTTCTTTTTGAAGTATTTTTGAACTTTCTGGAATGATTTTTCCTGCCATAACTTTAGCCTGAATGATAACAGACCCTTTGCTCTGGAAATCTGATCCTGTCTTAAACGCTGGACAAGAGGTCCGATGATTTGCAACTGATTTCTCAAGCTGAATCCATTCAAAACATTCCGGGCAAGGCCCATATTGTTTCAGACTGAATTTATTCTGGGTTCTTCTTGAAAGTAGTATTTCGCCCTCACCTTTTTGAAGAACAGACATATTGTGGATATTGTCTCCCTTATTGCGAATCAGCGTAACTTTTCTATTGATTTCCTTCATAAGGTCAGTTTTCTCTTCTGTGTTGCAGAACTCTTTTTTCTGTTTCATGGTTTTAATTTCTTGTACCTCTTTTTTGTTGCCATGTTTGTTCTCAATGTGAGTTTGGATGTTTGAATAAAGGTCATGACAAAACATACATGAATGAACAAGGTCGTATGTTCTTCCGGTTTTTGATCTTTCATTATTTCCTTTTTGGAACTTTTTGAAAAAAATGTTCGGATACTCTATGTCGAAGTCACATTCTTCACATGACAAAGTTTTTTTTCTTTTTTGAGGAGAATTCACATTTTCAATACTCTTTAGAATTTGATGACTGCCCTTTTTAGAAACACTTTTGTCAACATCTGGAAGGTTTTCATCGTTTTCACTTTCACTTGATGCGTTATCAGAATCGCTTTTACTCGATGAGTTATCAGGATCACTATCTGAATCAATCCAAGATTCATCAGAATCATCCATATCAGACTCTGACTCTCCATCATTAAACTCTACGTCTGACTGATGAGGGTGGTCACCTAAGAAGAAGATATCAACAGAGTCATCTTCATCAGATATCAATTTCAAACAACTATTGCCCTAGTTAGCATAGTCAGATATCTCACCTGCATGTGCATCTCCAAGGTAAGACTCAATCACTGCATCAACAGAACCCAATCCTTCATCTGACTCTCCATCATTAAACTCTACATCTGACTGATGAGATTGGTCACCTACAGAAAAGATATAAACAGAGTCATCTTCATCAGATATCAATTTCAAACAACTATTGTCCTAGTTAACATAGTCAGAATTCTCACCTGCATGTGCATCTTCAAGAAGAGACTCAATCACTGCATCAACAGAACTGGATCCTTTATCTGACTCTCCATCATTAAACTCTACGTCTGACTGATGAGGGTGGTCACCTACAGAAGAAGATATAAACAGAGTCATCTTCATCAGATATCAATTTCCAACAACTATTGCTCCAGTTAGCATAGTCAGATATCTCACCTGCATGTGCATCTCCAAGGTAAGACTCAATCACTGCATCAACAGAACCCAATCCTTCATCTGACTCTCCATCATTAAACTCTACATCTGACTGATGAGATTGGTCACCTACAGAAGAAGATATAAACAGAGTCATCTTCATCAGATATCAATTTCCAACAACTATCGTCCTAATTAACATAGTCAGATATCTCACCTGCATGTGCATCTTCATGGAGAGACTCAATCACCTCATCAACAGAACCCAATCCTTTATCTGACTCTCCATCATTAAACTCTACATCTGACTGATGAGGGTGGTCACCTACAGAAGAAAATATAAACCGAGTCATCTTCATCAGATATCAATTTCAAACAACTATTGCTCCAGTTAACATAGTCAGATATCTCACCTGCAAGTGCATCTTCAAGGACAGACTCAATCACTGCATCAACAGAACCCAATCCTTCATCTGACTCTCCATCATTAAACTCTACATCTGACTGATGAGATTGGTCACCTACAGAAGAAGATATAAACAGAGTCATCTTCATCAGATATCAATTTCAAACAACTACTGTCCTAGTTAACATAGTCAGAATTCTCACCTGCATGTGCATCTTCAAGAAGAGACTCAATCACTGCATCAACAGAACCCAATCCTTTATCTGACTCTCCATCATTAAACTCTACGTCTGACTGATGAGGGTGGTCACCTACAGAAGAAGATATAAACAGAGTCATCTTCATCAGATATCAATTTCCAACAACTATTGCCCCAGTTAGCATAGTCAGATATCTCACCTGCATGTGCATCTTCAAGAAGAGACTCAATCACTGCATCAACAGAACTGGATCCTTTATCTGACTCTCCACCATTCAACTCTACATCTGACTGAAGAGGTTGGTCGCCTACAGAAGAAGATATAAACAGTCATCTTCATCAGATATCAATTTCCAACAACTATTGCTCCAGTTAGCATAGTCAGATATCTCACTTGCATGTGCACCTTCATGGAGAGACTCAATCACTGCATCAACAGAACCCAATCCTTTATCTGACTCTCCATAATTAAACTCTACATCTGACTGATGAGGGTGGTCACCTACAGAAGAAAATATAAACCGAGTCATCTTCATCAGATATCAATTTCAAACAACTATTGCCCTAGTTGGCATAGTCAGAATTCTCACCTGCATGTGCATCTTCAAGGACAGACTCAATCACTGCATCAACAGAACTGGATCCTTTATCTGCCTCTCCACTATTAAACTCTATATCTGACTGATGAGGGTGGTCACCTACAGAAGAAGATATAAACAGAGTCATCTTCATCAGATATCAATTTCCAACAACTATTGCCATAGTTAGCATAGTCAGATATCTCACCTGCATGTGCATCTTCAAGGACGGACTCAATCACTACATCAACAGAACCCGATCCTTTATCTGACTCTCCACCATTCAACTCTACATCTGACTGATGAGGGTGGTCACCTACAGAAGAAGATATAAACAGAGTCATCTTCATCAGATATCAATTTCTATCAACTATTGCACTAGTTAGCATAGTCAGAATTCTCACCTGCATGTGATCCTTTATCTGACTCTTCATTTTGTGCATCTTCAAGAAGAGACTCAATCACTGCATCAACAGAACTGGATCCTTTATCTGACTCTCCGCCATTTAACTCTACATCTGACTGATGAGGGTGGTCACCTACAGAAGAAGATATAAACAGAGTCATCTTCATCAGATATCAATTTCAAACAACTATTGCTCCAGTTAACATAGTCAGATATCTCACCTGCAAGTGCATCTTCAAGGACAGACTCAATCACTGCATCAACAGAACCAGATCCTTTATCTGACTCTCCACCATTAAAGTCTATATCTGACTGATGAGGGTGATCACCTACAGAAGAAGATATAAACAGAGTCATCTTCATCAGATATCAATTTCAAACAACTATTGTCCTAGTTAACATAGTCAGAATTCTCACCTGCATGTGCATCTTCAAGAAGAGACTCAATCACTGCATCAACAGAACCCAATCCTTCATCTGACTCTCCATCATTAAACTCTATATCTGACTGATGAGATTGGTCACCTACAGAAGAAAATATAAACCGAGTCATCTTCATCAGATATCAATTTCCGACAAGTATCGCCCTAGTTAGCATAGTCAGAATTCTCACCTGGTTGTGCTTCTATAGATTCCAAGGCCCACTTGACGTCTTTTTGAAATGCTTGCAATGTTGCTTTTTTTTTCCCTCAAAATATCTGAAATTGAAATTTTAATTGAATCCTTTCATACATGTGGTAAGCATTTTGAAGAAGATTCATCTGAAAAGTTTTGGAGAGTTCATTCCTTAAATAGCCAATAATTTGAAGCTCAATATCCATTTTTTTTTCAGATTAATAGCATTAATAGAGGTCAACATCCTACTTAACATGGAAAACAAAAGCTTCTTTTTTCAGTCCATATTTTTTCTAATTTCCCAGCTTTTTTAAAAACGTTTACTACCAGAGAATACTTTAACATAAATTTCAACCCTGTCCCAAGGATGCTTTGTGCCAAGTTTATTTGAAACTGGCTCTGTGGTTCTGAAGAAGATAGTGCAAAGTAAAAGTGTATGACGATTGTAATGCAAATGATGACAACATACAGCAGACTAATTTTAATCAAAAAAGCTTAGTTGAGCTTTAAGATCATGACATGCAAGTTAAAATGTTAAATGATTAGTACCAACACATCCAAAATATCATATGAAATCAACAAAAGAATGATGAACAATCACCTGAGTATAATACAGTCCTTTCAAATTAAATAAAAAGGAATTTGTGTAGTCTGAAATCACTTGCATATCCTAGCTCAGCTTTTTATTTTCATACAATTGTCAAAGCAATGAATTAACTTTCTTATTGTGTTTTTAATGCAAAACTAAATGTCTTTGCTTCATAAACACAATATAAATCTGCCATGAAGTAGGGATGACAATCCATTACAAAATTGCTAATTGGTTAACTGCATCCCATTTTGATTGTTATCATGAAAGGTTTGCGATAAAAAACAATTTTTTTTATTGAGACATAATAATAATTGTCTGAATTTGCCTTTTGAAAATTTGAACCGATAGATTAGCTAAAATTTTTCAATGATATTGATTTACACTAGGGTCATCAGCTTTCCTGCCAAATCTGGATCAGAGTCTAAAACATTAAAGAATGGATCAGATGCAAATTTGATAGAAATATTACATGTTTCTTTACTGTAGTAATTTGTTTTTTTAATTATTATTATTATTTTGTATTTTAACATTTACAACTAGTACTACTCGAGGAATATGATAAAATTGGCATAAAGGTACGATGACCTGCAATTTGTAAACCTAATTTTACAAAAAAATGTCTTTATGATAAATAATTTACTAATTACTTAAATTACTTAAGTCCAAGTGTGCCCTGTCCTACTTTTATACCTCTCAGTTTTAAAAAAAATTTGGTATAAGCATCAATGCATATCAAAGCTGTTTACTAAATATGGTTTCATCGATATTTAGCGAGCACCAATTATTGTGGATTTCATTGTTGAACAGACCCATGAAAAGAAATGTGCAATGAATTAAGCAATTAGCTATCAATCGTTTTACGTATCTTTGAAACTGTGTATTTTACAAAATCCAGGAAAATTGATGCTGCAACAAAAATTGATGAACCACAGTAGTTTGTCTGCTAAAAATCAGCAAGAAGCCAATACAAATTAAAAACCTGCACTACTTTCAAAACCTGCATTCAATCAAAAGTTTTTACATAAAATTTTGGTGCCTATGGATCATAAATTTAAGGAATAAAGTTTTCTATAAGTATTGTCAAAAGATGTAACACATCAATATCATGACTATGATAATATTTGCTTTGTAGATTATAAGAAGCAGCTTACACAAATGAATTTTTAAGCTATATAATATGATTGATGCACGACATGAACTTATAAAGATAGCAATAGGTCAGTCTCAGATGACCAAATTGAAAAAAAAAAAAAAAAAAAACAAATAACAATTTCAATTCATTTTAAACGTTTGTTTAACTCATTACATTCTCCTTTTGCTTTCCATATCTCCATGTTTTCGAGAAACATTTCTACCTGTCTGGTCTTGTATCTAAGAAATTTTACAAAAAAGAAACTAGCTCAATTTTACAAAACTACCTTAACGATCTCCGATCCTCAGCCATGTTCGATAACTCTAAATTATCCATTTTTTTTTAATTCGTACCATAAATCTGTCTTTTATATAGAAAAATTTAATTAGTCTTCTAGTGTTAGTATTACAATCAGTCATTCAACGAAATGTTTGGCTTAGTGGATCAATGGAGATCTACTAAATATAGGTAAAGGGGTTCGAGCCACCGATGTACTTGTACAACCTTTTTTCCTCCTCAAATTGTATATTTATTTCATTATATCCATCATGGGCAAATTTGCAATAACTTTGTAAAATGCATGGATACCACCTAAAAATTTGTTTTTTATTTCATTTATAAAGTTTGAAGGATAAATAACATTTTTAAGATGAAAAACATATACTTTGAGGCTGAGGATTGGAGAACCTTAAAAGGAGGCTGAAATATTGTCTTGTTATAAAAAAAATTCAAAAATGTTATTTAGTTATTTAATGCAAATCCTTATTTGAATATATATAATGCTTTATCATTCTGACACTTGTTTACACCAACTATGATTTAAGAAAGATGAACAATATTTATAAATTCTTTTACAATAAAAACATTATATAAATTAACTTACATTACAGTATCTGCCTTACAATACACATGATATTCTTCATGATCATCTGAAATATCCACATTTTCTATTTTTACGGGCCAGAGGTAGGAAGTTGACGGCAGTTTTGCCCAAACAAAATCACCAGTACTACATGTTTTGATTAACTTCTTTTTTTTTTTTTGCAGTTGCAGTACATGTATCTCCTAATGCTGGTTTCCTTTTCCTCCTTCCCATTGCAACCTATAAAACCAAAAGCATAGTATTTTATTTTCAAGCAAAACAATGAAACAACCAATCTATGTGTTTAACTTGGGTAAAATGTACTAACTACTTCTCTTGATCTCCTCTCTCTGATTTATCCTAATAAATTGCCTAATTATATTTTTTAAATTTTTATTTGAATTTTTAATGAGAAGGATTTTTTCACATTCTATTTTAATTAAACAAATATTCAACATGTAAAATTTTTAATGACTCATACATACCGGTTACAGTTGCAGTTTTAGTGACAATATTTAAAGCAAACCACAGATGGAAATTAATTTTCAATGCAAAAAAAAATGTATGTCTACTGCATTAGTCTTTTATTCCAAGAATAAAAAATTCTGTTCCATTTTCTGACAGTTCTCAAAATCATTGCACCGATCACCACAATGAAAATCATCACCAACAATATCATACTCAATAATGCAACCTCAGACCAAAGAAAATTTTTTATGTCCTCCATCTTTGGCAACATGCTCTCAATGAGTAATGAATAATTCTTTTCAATACATTACTAGTAAGAAATATTGTGCAGCTTATTCAAACATGTTTAGGATTAAGATTTAATAGCAGTCCGTTTATTTATGTGGCAGGGACAACTTAGAGCAAAATTCAAGGGGTACTTCAATTCTCCCTCACAGAAAAATGGGAATTTAACTGAAATTACTTAGATTCAATCATGTAATTTTTAAAAAGAGAAATTCCACGTTATATAATATATTCAACACAATTACAAAATTCTGAGTTACCAACCTCACTATAATTTATAAACAGTTGGTTCACAGTATGTTGAGATATTGCATCACCTGCATTTATAACCTCATATGGTTAATGAAACTCATTTAAATGACATGATTGACAATCTTATGAGGTTTTACATACCTTAAGTTCTTTTTGGCCAGATGGAGAAATACACCAGAGCAATTATGATGAATATCAGATCAATTACAAAAGAAACTCCCAAAATTAAATGTACACCAAACTGACTAAATTTTGAATTGCTACTGAAAAAAAACCCAAGAACTCTTAATGCTAAGCTTAAAACAACATACAATCCTATAACAAAAACTTCTCGTCTCTCCATCATAAAATTTTAGTCTCTAACAAAATGGCTACCCCTTTCCTTTCAGTCATGGGTTACCAAATATCACTTTATACACGGACATTGTTCCATTAAAAGAATGAACAAACAATTTACTGTCTTCTAATCTTAAAGCTGATCAATGCTTCATGACATATATACGCTAAACTTGTAACACAATAAGTAAATCTATAATAATACATAAAAATATATAATTGTTTATTATTTTATTTAATATAACTTACCTTCATAATAATTATTAAAGCTTTAAGAATTTTTCTACTGCAAAACCAGAAAGGACACAAAATGCTCTACATGCATGAAATTCTGGGAGACAAAAAAATGTTAAACAGCAAAAACCATTGAGGAAGATCTCTAGAACACCAATATCAAAATCTGAGCAAAATGAGCAAGCCTGGGCATAATCATATGCAGAATAAAAAAGAATAAATCCAACAGGAGTTTCTCCATCCATTTTTGCCATGTGTAACTTAACACTTCCTGTTGACCCCACAATCAATGGACTTTACACATCATCTGTGCAATATTTTATCCATTTTAATCCATTTCATTTTAAATGTAAATTATAACTTGCAAATGTATAGGCTTTAAAATTTACTTCATTACACACGCATCTGTAAACGACTGGGTCCATGTGTCTTTTTATACCATTTTTTTGTCTACAAAGTATGATATGAAATAATTTTCTATACAAAAGAAAACTATCAATGTATTCATAATTCTACATTTTGTTGAATAATTGTGTCTGTTGCTGTTCATGTGTTATGGGCTTTTAGTGTCTATTGTTTGTGAGTTCTGAATGGGACAC